TTATTGAATATATTCAATACACACTTTACATACGTTATACTAGTGCACACGCTGTTCCGATACGTTAACAGACTTGATGCTCGGTTTCTATTAACTCATTTTCCTAAGACAATCAACGGTCTTCAGAATATAGAAGCTTAATTAAAACCGCTAAAATTAAGCGAGCTTTCTAAAGTACCCTACGGCTGCTACTTATTTCTATTCTAATAACTCACAAAGCATTATGTTAATAGTATTACATTTGAAAGCTTCCAGTTTCGTGTCGTGAGTTACGTTCACCCTTGAATGTTTCATCGAGTTTAATTCCCACACCGTATGATACAATTTCACTTCACTTTAAAACATTACATATTGCACTATTTACTTGAAGTACGGTTGCGTTTCCAGTGCAATCTGTCCAGTACAACCGGCACATGGCTTATGCTTTCTAGAAAAAAATTGAATCAACATCTTAGCTAGGCATGCAGGCTAAGCCAAAGTTAGGTGGTACGTATCGATTCGTAAAACTTTATTTTGGTAACTGGTGGTCAACTACTTTCTCGGAGCGCTACTTTATAGGGTTACCGGTTTGCCAGCCTGGACTGCTACGATCTACATATATAATCATATATAACTGTAGTACTGTTCAAATGAAGTGTTGTACATTCCTCATTCATCTCTGTCTCGTTGCAGCGATGATCAGCTCCTACAAAAATATTGGAACCACAAATTGTAAAATGCATCTTAGTGCATTACCTACCAGTATGACATACGCGTATCTGCTGTTTTATCGAGCTTGCTTTCTAGATCAAGTTGTTGAGACTGTACGGGGCATGCCGACTACTCTTTGTTACCTCTGCTTCCGAGCATCATCATCTTCACTAAACAGATCAAAGTGACACGGCTGGGGATGTGGCGGAGGCGTAGGAGGAGAAGAGAAACGAGATAGCGGCTGAAGTGAGGAGGAGAAAAGCGAGAACGAAGAGGGGGAGAAGGAGGGGATGACTGGAGGAGGCTGACAAAAAGCAGAAATTATTCACGAATAATTCATGAGCGCCCCACTTAGCCCCAGTGGACTGCCGCAGGGAGTTTACGTTGGTAGGGCTAGGTACGCCTTGGACTGGCTACCCCATTACATCCACCTCGTATGTATGAGTGAATCCGTAAGTGGTAAGCGGCGCGCCGGGCAAGGAAGGGGCCGCTCAAAAGTCCTTTTCCGCAGGTGGCAAGCATGAGAATGCGTCACCAGTATGAGCCGGGCGGCGCTCCGCTATCGTTACCATTTGGCCGCTACATACCTATGGACAGCCAATGCTTTGCTGGCTGAATTTTTGGCAGGCGTATAACTGAAGCCCACTCGCCCATTGCACGCCGACGATGACGGGGTTTGCTTCATTTCCATAGGCGACTCTCTATTTTCATAGACTAGCAATGATTCCCGCTGGTAACTAACAAGAAAAAGCTGCTACTTTACCATCTGTCCTACCCGCCCAATGACGAGTCCGCATATTTATTTAATTTTATTATAAACTACGAAAAAGGATGTGTACTTTCGACGTAAGAGTTCTTGCTTCGTTGTGTACCATAAACAGGCTATCACCACAAAAGCATTAGTACGCGCCCATTAGCATGCAATAGCCTTCTGCCTTTTTTGGTCATTCAACGTAGAAATCTATGGTGGACATTTGCTTTTCTTCAATTAAACATAGAAGAATCGAATTAAATAATATGCTCTACAGAGGCTCAATTTATTAAAAACTATCGATGCTACTAAAAAAGCTGTACACTTTTTTTTAAAAAGTCATTGATTATGTCCGATTTAATATATCAAAACCAAGTTAACTAGACGCACTGCATACGCTATTGCAGAGGCAGGTCAACAATTTGGTCTTCTTCCTTTACAGTTAACTCTTTTAGCTTACGTACCATGCTGGCGTGAAGTTACGCCAAATCAGCCGATAAACAAATGAATCGAACTTTTTTTTAAATATATTATTTTAAACCAGGGGAAACACAATGACCCATATAACACGTGCCGCATCGGAAACATGCAGCTCTATTGCCTGCTGATAACAGAATTCAAATATTGCCTCCATCGAGTTTTTAATCCGTTATATAGATATAAGCTTATCCGCAAGATTAATGTCATTACGGAAGTTGATGTACTAAACCATACGGTCTGAGGTAAAAGTTAGTTTAGAAATTTGTAAAAATGGAAGCGCTCTTACAGCAGATTTGCAATGGTATTTTTAAGGCTCAATTATTACCTGTTGTCTCCTTTTTTCGCTAAGAAGCTCTTTTATGTTAGCTGTATCACATTCAACAAGGATGCGATAAATTTCTGCCATGCTCGCCATGTTAGACGGTGCTATCTATGTTGGTCAGTTGTCATTAGGGTTTCGATCGTTGTTGAAATATTGGGTCGGCACCCAGTATATTCACTAGGACCGAACAAGAGTCAACATCCTACTTTTGGCAACAGCAATGAGACTTGAGGATGTTGGCGGACGAGGCAATCGTAATACTCTACAACACAAATGAGATAACATTTCTCAAATCTATTATGTTATCGGATCATCAAAATCACTATCGTCAATCTGTCGACCAGGACATTGGTGGAGGGACCTATTTAGCTTGTTTTGACTGCGAAAATCGATAGCGCCACCAGCTTATTTGTCTGCTACTAAATTGTTCTCTTTTAATAAGGCTCCATTGCTATAAAAAAAAAGACATATTAATTAAATAGATCTCATTAAACAGGCACCTTAGGTTTTATAGCTATTTGGGTAATGAAACACATTTAACTAGTCCATTTGCATTGTATGGTGACATTGCAACAATAAAATCTATATTCGGAACTTTGTCTTTACAATTCTATGAAAGGGGCACATACTAAAAGATGCACCTTAAAAGATCAAAGTTGTTGTAAATCACTTAATTAAAAAACTACTGAAACGCGTCTTGTAAGGAGTGAGCCCAATTAAATACTGTATAGCTTCCTGTTTCATACAAAAAAAACCAACGAAGGATGTCAAATGCTGTCGTGCTGATGTTATGACCATCGTACCTCTCGGTCGCATCTCGTTCTCTGTTTAGCTTATAACGACAACCCTTAGCCTAACGGTTACCCTTTTATAATTTATTATTATACCACAACTAGTACAATTATCTAGCCATGATGTTAGCCTATTCATATTAAATAACAGAAAAAATGCTTATTCTGAAAAAAATCACAAGTATTATAGGATGATCGAAAAGTAAAAAGAAAAATAAACTTCTAATTCGCACAAGAGGTCCCTGAAGTTTCGGGTGTAAATCCATGATATTTGTTTTCATTGCGGATGAAGTGAAAAGAAACGCTTACTATCTCAATTAAAAAAAATATAGTACACTAAAGCTTTATAGTACAGTTTGCTGTTCCCTACTAAATGCTTCTCACAATACATATACATTCATATAGGTAGCGTGCGATACCGTACCCCAATTGAATGCTGTTTGACCTTGCCAATTGTCTTCTAACGAGCTCGGCTATAACTTCGTGAAAAAATCGCCAAAGTTCCTGCCACAGCGGAGGGAACTATTACCTCCATAGAGAGTCTAACTATTAGAGCGACAATCTGAAAAGCAACTACCAACAAAGTAGAGCACATCTGCCAGGCGAAAGCCTGTCTCAATTGTCCCAATCGCAAACCACAGAGCGCGAACAAATCATGGCAAGTCGCCAATTTTCCGCTATAGTTCGGGAGGTCTGTGCATACCGTACTAGCAACTGCCGTTGCGGCTGTTGCCGCCGTTATTTCATTATCGGTAAAACTTTCGCTGCTGCTGTATAGCTGCGATAGCTATTCGACCAATCCAGTTCAGCTGTAATGGCCCTGTCTCATCCGTGTTTCCTCTGGCTCCTTACAGAGCAGAACGAAAATATGGCCAGGCCCATAGATCCATAGAATACCAGTCTAATGTACCTAGCAGCTCATATTGCAGCAAACTGAGCCCTCGACACATCGAGAAAAAGCGTGAAAGCAAGTGATAAATACAGACTCTACCACAGCAGTGAGTCGAGCAACATAATGATACAAATACGTTGCTTTCTTAAACCGGGTCAGCAGCTAGCCAGACGCCCGCGCTCTACCTAAAATCAACATCAGTTACAACAGCAACTCATGCTGTTTGGGCGCTATCAGTACTACGGCGCGGATATCGGACCCCCCACGGCGCTGCGATAGACCGCAGCCAGTGGCCATCAGCAACATGATCAAAATCAACGCTACTATCACCACCATTATTTTCATAAGCGTCATCAACAATTGCTAGGACAGTATCACTTGGCGAAGCGCGCCATTAGCAGACGATATGACTTCGTCTCTATCCTCTCGTTGAATCGTTGTTGTGATGAAGTATTAAACTTGAATGGCAAGACATATACATTATTATTTAGACGTTCGCCATCGAGCATATTTATGCTAATAATTTAGAGCCATTCCAGTACATTTTCTTTGTGATAAAAGCTAGCTAGGATTATTTCATGGTACCTGATCCCTTTGGCGGGCTGAGCTTAAAATAGACGACGCAGTATCCGCTCCGCTAAATGGGATAGGCTGGCGGGCATTTTGTCAACAAGCTAGATTTCGCGATTTGATCTCGTGGAGCTTGGACGTGTCTGCCTCGTGGTGGTCGAATATAACTCAAAGCAGCGACAAGCCAGTTGCGAAACGCCAATCTGCGTCAAGGATCGGTAACGTTTTGTAGAGTGAATCAGCATCCTTCGAAGCGAAGAAGCAGTATTTAACGACGACCAAGCCACCGAGCGACATTTAATAAGTGAGTGAATAAAATTCTGACATCCGCCCCGAGTGGTTGTGCTTAGCCTGACTGGTTAACCCAGTGTCAATGTGAAGACTAGCATTATTAGCATAGACTAATGGCGTAGACATAATAGATTTTTTGTGTTATTGTTTCATCTAATCTTATTGGTTGACTGTTGAATTTCGTGTGTGTTGACAACTGCAGCAATTATCGTCATGTCTGGACGGGAATGCTTCCGCTGCCATAAGTCTGGCCATTTTGCCCGTGAATGTCCGGAGGGCCACGGCGGTTATGGGGCCGGTGACCGTGGTTACGGAGGAGGCCGTGGTGGATATGGCGGTGGAGGCCGTATGGGCGGCGGTGGCGGCGGCGGCGGTGGTGGTAGCCGGGGCTGCTTCAACTGCGGCCAGGACGGACACATGGCGCGCGAGTGCCCTACCGCTTCCTCAGGCCGTTCGTGCTACCGCTGCCAACAGCCTGGACACATTGCCCGCGACTGCAATTCTAACTTGTAGGGTAGGTAGGTGACAGCTCGGCCACCCGCGAATCGGATCCTCATTTCGTCGTATTAGCTGCTACGCACGCACGCATAAAGATAGCAAGCAATTACTGGATTGAATGCAACGTGCTTTAGCAGTGCATGTTACCAAAACGGCGATTTGTCTGACAAATCCGCGAGGAGGCCGACTCATCCCCTGGTGAATCGTGGCGTGATCATCCATATTTCTTCCGTATATTTTTCTTCGGCCACACCGCCAGGATATTAGCCTACAAACACATGAAAACAAGAAACTAACAACAAAAATCCAACCCCAAAACTTATCGCCCGCTCTAGCAGCGGCAGTGTATCGTGTTGTACCGTGTTTCCCCCACCTATGTGACTGTCTTGTTTGTGACGGGGGATAGGAGGTTGTTTACCGAAGACTTGAATATTCCGCCGCTACGGTATAGTGGTGTGGCTGCGACCTCTAGCGCCGACCGCTTGTGAACACAACTGCGTTAGTCTGATTTTAGTTAAATCATGATCTACTACCAGCATCATGGTCTTAAGCAGCACGCGCTTACGTTGCTATGATAGACGCGAAGGCGCTTGTTGTCCATGGTAGTAGTAAGACAAGAGCAAGTAGCAACAGCTACGGCAGTGAGTGGTCATAGCGTCGGCCATGTCCATTATAATGCAGACCGCGCGCGCGGCTTGTCGGTAGCGGTAGCAGAATTAGCAATGTAACAGCAAAAACAACAGCGGCTGTTCAACAACTACTACTGTAATTGCTTCTATCGACTTGGTTTGAGGTGTTATTGATAACGAAATGACGCAGAAACACTCCAATTAACATTTATACTCCCATATCCTCTTGCAGACAACAAGCAGAACATGCGCAACAACACCATATATATATATATATATATATATTCGTCACGATCCCATATATATATTACACATAAATACACACATCTTTTGCGCAGCAGAGCCGGGGTTGGACAATGAAAACGAGACGAAGAACTTTAAATAAATATACATATATAAAAACAGCCACCACAATAAATATACATATATAAAAACAGCCACCACAATCTAAGGACGGGTTTTCAAATCATTGTTACCGTGGAGAAGAAACATTCATGTAACATTAGAGATGTCGAAAGGGAGAGAGAGAGCGAAAGGGCGTGGGACCTACACTCAGCAAAAACAACAGCAGCGGCAGCAACTTCAGTTTGTTGGTCAGAAGTGGAAGAGGTTAAATAGCCAATAAAAGGACCAATGCAAGCGAAGCGCTCTCTCCCGTAGCAAAACGCACCTGTATATGACATATTATAATATCTGAGTCAGCCAGGAACACATACACCATAGCAGCAGCAATGTGAACAGAGTATAAGATATTGATGAAAATAGGGAAGTAATGATAAAAATAGCAGTAATATCGTGTGGGAAATGGGACGCCTTGTCAAACAATATAGACGAAGTGGTAATCAATAATCAATTATAAAATGAAGTGAAGGTGAATCGTATCGGAGTTATAATAGTGATGTAATATGTGAGGGAATAGCAATTAACGTGGTGAAGTAAGAGGGATCATTGTAAACGCGACACAAATATGAGCTAGAGCGGCATGCGAAACAACGATTGTATAAGCGACAAAAGATGTATCAGATCTCTTGATGTGAAGTTTTATATGGAAGAAGCACATCTATGTAACGGTATAACAATTAATGAAAAACAAAAACCAAAAGTATTGTGTAGGCGATATTGTCTATAATATCTACATATTGTGTATCTAACGAAAGCGATGGATATGTATATGAAAAGACAATAAAACAGAAAAACGAAAAATAGGGACGATGTCGTGGGTGAAAACAGACCCACGCCTATGGGATGCGAAAGAGAAACGATGCGTTGCTGGTGTAGGACGACACAAAGTTACAGGAAGTCGACGAGGAGACAGGCGTACGATGGTGAAAAAACAGCGGATTATCGTGTATGTATGAAAGAAACGTTAGGACGGGGGAAAAGAAAACGGTGTACTGACTATATTTTTGTACATTATACAACGAGAAGAATGGCAAAAAGAACACGAAAGACACAAGATAGATAGCACTTGCGGAGTGCTTAAACCAAGAGACTAAAAAACCAGAAAGAAAACCGCCTCTAAAATGGAAAATAAATTAAGAAATGGTGATTGCTGTCCGATTTGAATTCGCTTAGTTATTAAAGCAGAAGAACGATACGAGGTATTCGCCGCAGGCTGGTATAATTTCGTGTCTGTTTCAGACGGTTTAAGACTGTTCTGTTCCGGAGTTGTTTTGTGACAATGAGTAAAATGTATGAAATGTAAATATGACACACAGTTTTCTATTTCTATTAGAAAATTGTCAAACTTGTCATCTAAGTAAAAATATTCAACACAGTATCATACGGAGCAGCTGGTGGAATTAGCTAAAATAAGAGACACACTCGTTGCGTGTATATCACGCTTATTGATTTGGCGCCAAAAGTAATATTTCATCAAACTCGTGGTAAAAAACCGAAGTGAAACTAGTTTTAGGCGTACCTATTCTTTAACGCAATATGTTGTAAGAGTAAGCCCAATCATCGACAGAGTCGAATTGGTGTTATTTACAGGAAACGACAATTAATTCGGTCGTGTTAATTTCAGCGGGTTTGTCTATCTAGTTAATTTTGGTACCGATTCAAATCTGTATTGTACATTAGCTAGCTTCCACTCTAGCAAAGACGTGTATAAAATACCTCAAGCATAGCGCAAGTATGGAGTGGATATATGTTATAATTTTGCCTTAAATATTAGCGTTCTCAGATTGAAATTACAGTGGATTGCGATCAAGCCATATTGAACGAATATTAAAATAGTAGCGAATTGCGTAAGGGCATGTGGCATTATCGACAGCGAAAATGGCCAAATCGCTGGAATGAGATAGTAAACGGATGATGGTTTGACTTGAATCCACTATTTTATACAGCCATTCGATTCGTTCAAAGAAGAAAGTTATATACTTTATGCTTTTATTGTATCAGATTAATGTGGTAAGACGGTAAAAAACCATAGAATTTTGCATAATGCATATTAACGTTACGTATCCTAGATGTACGACCTAGATGTCCAATCAAAAGCTTGACAGCAAACACAGAACGGGTAAGTGAATCATTTTAATCTCACATTGTAGGCGCCATTGATATGTTCACATAACTTATGTTTGATTTTCTAATTTCGAAAAGGGAATAGCATCAGTGTGAAAAATAAAGCTTTCATTTATAAACTATAACGACAAATATACAAATGACTTAGTTGGGTTTTGGTATACTTGATGGTGCTTTTCATCGATTTATTTGTTAAACAAAAATTTAAAAAAAAATATGAGTGAACTTTAGAATGAATGGAACGGTTAGGCTTTTACTAATTCATGTTATTATATGATGTGATCCTAGCTACACGGAACAATAAGATAGAGGGGTATATGATCGCTTCAGGGAGTTAAAGATGTTGATATTAATCCTGTTAGGTTCTAACCATTACACGGTAACTATGCAGTTAATTCATGAGCTTTTCAAGTATAAATATAGATATTTCTAGATGTAGCAATTGCCGTTTTGTTACAAATCAAAAACCATTTTTACATAAGTTCCGTGAAATTGTTTTGAAAAAGCCAAATAAAAATCTAATCCGAGTGATTTTACCTCGAAAATTACATATTCTAAAAGCTGTAACAATTCAATTAAGCAATAAAGTAAGTCGTCTAAAATTTCATGGGTGTTTGATAATTATTAATGTATTAATTAACATGGGAGTATTTAAAGAATTGAAATTTATGAATAAGTTAAAAGTTAAGTCTTGAAGAGTTGTGCCCTCGTTTTTGCGAGAAGAGCCTCGTTTTTATAATGTATTGCGTGCCCGTCCGCAGTTGAAGCTCCTTGTTGATTTCGTCATTCTTGCAAAATTCGTAAATTACACTTGAGGCATTAAAGTGGCGATCTATTATTTGTTTGATTTTCAAATACGTTTCTCAGGCATTTATTAGGTGGTTACATTCGATAATTTGGTATTCGCACCATTGTGATAAACATCAGCGAACTATTTGAAAAAAACGCCTAAAGGAGGATAAACCATCTAGCTCTTGGGGTTGAAGTATCCGCATTTAACATCTCGTGAAATATAGAAATAAATTGGATCTTTATTGATGTTAACTGTGCATAAACTGCGTCTGAATAAAAATAAATATTTAGATAACAATGTCTTACCAATAACAGCACGAACGTTTCTCACGGATGTATCTGTTTATTATAAAGCTTTAAGTTCCTGAACTAAAATATGAAAATTACCATAAATGGCTTTTTCTTCGATTCGAATACATTTGGTTCTATGACTATTATGAACTCTCCATTTTTCTCACGGAAATCTCTCTCGGATTCCTCGGAAGCCTCCCGAGAGATTAGAATCAACGTAAATTGTCGATTCCGGCCAATTTTGTTGGGTATCTATGCCGCGCGAAGACGTTAAGAAATGGGAGATCTTTGGATATATTCCTAACACGAACCTTTTGTCTTCCCTATGATCAGTTTGTGCTTTTATTCCAGAAGAAATTGGCTCTCTTCTGCGAACAGCGAAAGGCCCATGCCTAGTGGAGCAAACAGTTCGTTAAAGTGAGTTTCAGTTTGTTCAAGGAACTCTATTTAAGGTGACAAGTAGGCTATTGGAAATCATTTGTAAACAACACGTGCTTGCAATAGGAAACGGCTTAGATCACGCCTGTCTATCACGATGTGAGCAATGCCAAGCGATTTATCTTTGTAAGCCATCGTGAAGGGACATCTGCTAACCAGAACATAGTTAATACGACACACATTTTGATATACACAAACCAAACATGCAGGGTATTTTTGCGAACAAGGGGGCTTTTGCCGTTGCAAGCAAGACTTGTGCATTGTAATTGGTAGGAGGATGGCGATTCTGACTATGATATAACAAAGACTAAATATTTTTGGAGAGCGAAAAGTATGCAC